CCTATTCATTTCTTTGTTTATATAAAAATAATATGAAATGACTGTAATAAGGAATATTTTACATACGCACGCACACTTATTGGAAGTACACATTTTTCTAGACATATACAGAGGTGCGGTATTTCCTGGGTGCACATTTCCCAATATCTGTCCACTGACGCTAAATGTGGGAAAAAAGCTGGGTGACAGCCTTAGCCAGTTTGGCTCAGTAAGTAGAGCACTGGCCTGCGGACTGAAGGGTCCTGGGTTCCATTCCAGCAGGGGCACATGCCCGGGTTGTGGGCTTGATCCCCAGTAGGGGGTGTGCAGGAGGCAGTCAATCAATGATTCTCTCTCATCATTGATGTTTCTCTCTCTCTCTTCCTCTCCCTTCCTCTCTCAATAAAAATATATTTAAAAAATTAAAAGAAAAAAAAAAGCTGGCTGACTAACACTGGGTTATATTGTTTCCTTCAGAATTCTGTGGCCGCTGGTCCATCTTGTGGCATTCAGTTCTGCTGTGAAGTTCACGGCTGGCCTGATTCCTGCCCCTCCTTTTCTATGGGTGTCAAGTTCAGTAACGAACCAGAATATGTACATACCTGCATTAGCATCAATCTTTTTTTTTTTTTAATATATTTTATTGATTTTTTCACAGAGAGGAAGGGAGAGAGATAGTTAGAAACATCGATGAGAGAGATACATCGATCAGCTGCCTCCTGCACATCTCCCACTGGGGATGTGCCCGCAACCAAGGTACATGCCCTCGACCGGAATCGAACCTGGGACCCTTCAGTCCGCAGGCCGACGCTCCATCCAGTGAGCCAAACCGGTTTCGGCAAGCATCAATCTTAATACAACATCTGAGGCTGTACAGATTTGTTGAGAACTTTGGCCAAAAATATCCTCCCCAAACCAGAAAAACCCAGATGTCCTGTTGCTCCGGCCCTTCAGTCCCTCTGAGAAGAGAACCGAGTCTTCCAGGCCCCAGAGGCACCTCACCTCTCGGTAGTCAACCACTCCCACCAGCACCGGCCCTGCCCAATGAGGTGGCCTCCAGAGCGTGCCCAGGGGCCCGTGTCCTCTGGGAGGTTGCTGCCCTGCTCAGCACCCAGATCCTTTGACCCCTTACCCATGTGCACCGCCCCTCCACGAAGTATTTGCAGATGACTTTGCCTTTCTTGTCAGACTGTTGATGGGGCTTGTCATGGTCACGGCTCCGGTAGCTTCCGCCGCCATCCTGTTAGGGACACAGAACACAGTGTGAATGTAACTAACGGGGAAAGAAAAGCGAGGGCGGTGAGGGCCCCGCGGGTCAGGTGGAGGCCATCTGAGTGAAGAAGGGTAACAGGAGTTGTCTAGCAGCCAGTTACGTCTGACACCGAGGCCACAGGAGTCCGAGCCCACAGTATGGAGTGCTGCTTGGATAAGCACAGCTCTGGCACTTGGAGCTGTTGGCCATGAAGACTCGCGCACACACACTTGTGCAGGAACACATCCACCTCCTGGAGGCAGAGGCACCTGCCTTCCTGTAAAACTCTCCAGGGATAACTGAGTGGGTCACCTAGAACCTTCCAAGTCTTAGAGACTTGTTCGGGGTGACTGCAGGTGCTACGAAGACGTGGTTTTAAAAAACAGAGGGTCTTACCCTGGCCAGTGATGCTCAATGGTTGGAGCGTTGACCAGCACACCGAAAGGTCGCCAGTTTGATTCCCAGTCAAGGGCATGTACTAGGGTTGCAGGTTCAATCCCCAGGCCCTGGTTGGGGGGTGTGTGGGAGGCAACCAACTAGTATGTCTCTCTCCCATCGATGTTTCTCCCCCCACCTTTCTAAAAACCAATGGGGAAAAAATATCCTCGGGTGAGATTAACATTAAAAAACACACACACACACACACACAACAAAACACAAAGAGAGGGTCTCACTAGCAGTGCATCCCTATGAGAGCTGATTAGTGCTTATTGGCCCTATGGGGAACGGCAGGGAGCCAGGGTCAGCCTCAGAGGACAACTCATTAAAGAGAAAAAAATATCCAAGGAGGGGCCTTGGGTAAAGACGTCAGATCAGAGTGAAGAGTGGACTCACGCCCATGTCATCGTCATAGAAGTCGTCGTCATCATTCATCCCGCCCTTGTTCATCCCTCCTCGGCCGCCACCTCGACCTCGGCCGCGGCCCATGCCTTTGCCTCGGCCCCGGGAACCCCGGCCACGGCCTCGATTTAACCCTGCGGAGGAGAGAAATGCATCAACCACGGCCCGTCCCCAGAGCCCAACTCCACCAGCTGCCAGAGGAGCCCCACCAACTCGTCCACTTCTGGGCCCCCGCCCACCTCGTCCTCGGCCATCCTTGGACCGGCGGTACTGGTTCAGCTCCTTGGAATAGTCGTCGTAATCCTCGTCTCCCATCGGCTCCTCACTTTCTCCGTACTGGGATTTCAGAACGGAGAAAGGCGTCACATGGGGAACAATGAACACGGTCCCTCACTATACATTTTGCCCCCTTTGCCTTTTGGTTTCCAGGACAACCTCAGACTCAGAATACCAGGTGAGAAATTTGGGCCTCAGGCCTGTGTCCCCTCCTCACATGACCCAGCCTGAGCATGGGTGGTCTTCATCCTTTCTGTGCAGTCGTCAGTCTTAAAACTCCCACCCCCTGGGCAAATCCATCAGGGCACCTCTGTACACATGGACAGCTGTGCCGCTGTAACAGGACTGCACAGAAAGGTCTCGCAGGGACACGGCATGAGTGTGGCACAGCTGCGAGAGGAGTGAGTGTGCCCGCGGCAGGGACACGGCATGAGTGTGGCACAGCTGCGAGAGGAGTGAGTGTGCCCACGGCAGGGACACGGCATGTGTGGCAGTTCTCTGCGAGAGGAGTGAGTGTGCCCGCGCACAGGCACACAGCACAGCGAGTAAATAAGCCCCCGGCTGCAAAGGCCTCAAACGTTTCCAGAGCCACTCGGGAACCCTGTCTCCAGGGACAGGAATTAAGTCGCTGGAAGAAGATGTAATTTTCACAGCTCACCCTTTGGTATCTGTTCAGTTTGAATCATACGAAAGTTTTTTCAATTTCAAAATCATACATGAACATTTAAAACACATACGCCTGCCTGTCACCTGATGCTCGCTTTCCTTAGCCTTCAGGCCACCCCCCACAGGACACGCAGCCCACCAGCCAGTCCCCGGTTCCCGGGCAGTAGAAAACCTTACATCCATCTCATCTTCATAAAAGTCGTCTTCGTCTTCTGGGTGGTCTCCCATGGAGCCTCTGCCCCTGCCTCGGCCGCCCCGGCCCATGCCTCGGCCCCGAGACCCTCCGCGGCTTCCTCGGCCCCGGTAGCCCCTGCCACGGCCTCGACTGCCTGCACGGTGATTCAGAAAGTGAACCCCTGAGCGGGAGTAGACCCCACCAACAAGAGAGATGTTAACCCATTGTCTGCCCCTGAGGTCAATTATTTCACCTTCCTCTCCTCCTCCAAGAAGCCTTCCCAGCTTCCCCAGGCAGACTAATGGTTCCCCCGGTCCCCTCGATGAGGTGCCTCAGCATTGCAGGCACATGACTGACACAGCGCTCACTACACTGAAAACTGCACTGTACGATATGGTAGCCACCGGCCTCATGTGGCTTCTGAGCACCGGAGACGGGGCTGACCAAACCAAAGAGATGCCGTGAGGGTAAAGCACGTCTGGACTGCAAGGACTCAGTGGGGAAAAAAAGAGGGAATGTACAATATCACATCTGCCTAGTTTGCAAACGTTGTTGAAATAAGCTTTTGAATGTATAAGGTAAATAAAATATATTGCTGAAATTCATCTCATCTATTTGCTTTTACTTTTTAACGGTGACTACTAGAAAACTAAGTCACATGGTGGCTTGGATTCTGCTTCTACAGGACAGCACTAATCTAGAATCTCCCCAAAGAGCAAGGCCTGTCCAGGGAGGTGTCCGTGAAAGACGGCTGAAAAAAAGAAGGGACAGGCGGCCACTCAAACAACAAGCTGGGCCTTAGGCGGGGATACGAACCTCTGAGCTAGAAGGTTCTGGAAGCCCCGTTGGGGTGGAAAATCTCACTGGCAGGAGATGGTTCTAAGAGGGTAGGCTGGGCCTCTGGTGCTCTGCCCTCCCCTCCCATCCTTCTAACTGCCAGAGTTCAAGGTTCAGAGGTGTGGCCGGCCCACAGGCTGCAGACACACCTTGTCAGGTGCTATGAGCTGAGGGAGGGGGAGGGGACTACTGAGGGTTGTGGCATCCAATTGCCAGGCACCCTGGCCCAGGTGTGAGAAGCCATCCCTTTTCTTTCCCCTCACTTCGGACCAGGAAGTGAGTTTTCCCTCTTCCTGTCTCATACCAGCCTGGCTCCGTCCCAACCAGGGCCTCAGCGCTGGCCTGCTCACATGGCTAACTCCCCCAAACCTTTCCTTCCGTACTTATCTCAGCCCTAAACGACCGCCCGTCTCTTCTCCTGGACTGGAGGCTCCGTGAGCACAGAGACAACCAGGCCTGTCCCGCTCTGCACCGCCCCTCCAGCCCCCAGCGCCAGGTCTGCTCAGACACCCTGGAGCAGAAGCTTGGGGTCTCACCTCGGCCCCGACTGCTGCCCTCCTTGGCACGCCGGTACTGGTTCAGCTCTTTGGTGAAGTCGTCGTAGTCCTCCTTGCCCATATCCTCTTCCTCGTCGCCCTCATACTCCCCGTACTGCTCGTTATCATAGTCGTCGTACATGCCGTAGCCTTTGCTGTCCATCTTGGAGTAGGACTTCTTGGGCAGGGACGTGCTGTGTGACGGGGGGTACTGCTGGTGGGACTGCCAGGGAGAGGAGGGTGAGCAGGCCCCAGGGCCTTGGGTGCAGACCACCAAGACCCTCACTATCCCTGGGAGAATACCATCCTCGAGCTCCTGGGGACTGGTCCCCACCTGAGTGAGATCTAGGCAGTAGGCCCAGATGTTTCTGTTCTTCAGAAAGGGCCACAGCTTGAAAGAAAATGGAGAACGGACCCACAATCCTGAAGAACAAGGGAGAAAGTGTGTGTGTGTTGGGGGGGGGGGGTATGTCCCAAGGCTATAGACCAATCTCATTTGGGGAGGAGGCCTGGTAGGCAGAAGGGGTGCTTCCTGGTCAAAAGTTTCCTGGGGTCTTGGAATTCAATTAATTACCTGCTTGGCAACCAAACTAGAAAGCCATTTCAAATGATGCTTTTCAAAGTGTGCTGGTGCCAGGAAATACTGGATCAAGTTAAATATATATTTTATATATCACACACACACACAAATGGAAGCCACCAAAATGTCCTCAGGCAATGAATGGATAAACCAACTGTGGCACATCCAGACAATGGAGCATTTATTATTCAGCAATTAAAAAAAAAAAGAGCTATGGAGCTATGAAAAACAGAGGAACCGTCAACTATGCTAATTGAAAAAAAGCCAACTGAAAAGGCTACAAACTGTATGAGCCTGACTGACATTCTGGGAAAGGCAAAACTCTAGAGACTGTAAAAAGACTGGTGGTTGCTAGGGGCTCGGGGAGGAGGAAAGCAGAGGGGATTTTTAGGGAGCTGAGACTATTTTATATGGTAGTGCATGGGGAATACATACTCTATACATTTGTTAAAACCCAAAGAACTATAAAACCCTAATGTAAAGGTATGAACTCTAATGAGTCAATGTTGGCTCCTCAATTACAACAAATGTATCAACCACATTAATGCAATATGTTAAAAACAGGAGAAACGGGGTGGAATAAGGAGGGAGTTGTACTATCTGCTTAATTTTCTATGAACCTAAACTGCTTTAAAAAACAGTCTATTAATTTAAATAACCCACACTCATTATAAAAAAAAGAGAGAGAAAATACAAAACATAGGTAGATAGACATACACAACTACTTGAGCAGATCTTAAAATGCCCCAACACCAGTCCCCAATTAAAGCTCACAGTGTTTCCTCCCTTCCCTGCCTCCCTCAGGTTTACAGTCTGAATCTCCGTTAGATCAATGTCAACGATGCCTTACAATAAAGTATCTGTAATAATGGATGGTGCTGAGTCATATGATAACTGAGGCATCTTTAAGAGCTACTAGCTTTAAAAGTATTTTTAAAAATCAAAACTCAAAAAGCTATGTTGATGTTTTTTCTTATCAGTTTTGCTAGGGGGGCAGACAGCATACTAACTGAATAGATAATTTAACTTTATGTTTGCTTAAGGTCAGAGATGTAATTTATTCCTATAACCATTTCATTCTCTTGCTAATTTTCCACAAAAGTCATTTCTGAACAGTGTCAAACAGTCAGCTATGACGGGGACAAGTCAGCATCCTTCTCGGGGACAGGGGACAGGAGACACACGGCAAAGGCCACAGGAAAAGGTGGCACCGAGAAGTGCTAACAGCATGGCTTATAGAGATCGGTCACGAACTGGGTTCAAATCCCCATTCCTGCACTTGAGGGCTGTGAAACCTGGCTGAAGTTTTCTAAGTCTCGGTTTTCTCACCTGTAAAACGGGGATAAAGACAACACCTAATCTGCCCAGCTGGTGTGGCTCAGTGGTTGAGTGTCGACCTATAAACCAGGTCACGGTTCAAATCCAGGTCAGAGCACATGCCTGGGTTGCAGGCTTGATCCCCAGTAGGGGATGTGCAGGAGGCAGCCAATTGATGATTCTCTCTCATTATTGATGAATCTATCTCTTTCACTTTCCCTTCCTCTCTAAAATCAATAAAAATATAGTTTTACTCCCTGGAGCCCCTGGCCAGCAGTCACTCACCGGCACGTACGGGGGGCTGTACTCTCTGTACTTGCGGTGCCCCTTCTCGCTGGGGCTGAAATCGGAGTCATCGGAGAAGTCGGAGAAATCATCGCTGGAGGATGCATGGCGCTGCAATGACAGGGGAAGTGGACTTAGCGATTCTGCTGCAGGCAGGTCACTCTGGCAGTCAACCCTGGGGAAAGCACTGCTGGAATGTGCCGGAAGGGCTCTGTGCTCTGTGCTCTCCGTGAAACACCTTACCTACGGGCATTTAGCAGCAATGGAGCATGAGCTATTGATCCAATTTGAGGAAGGAAAAAACAACACTATTAGGAGTGCTCTTTGGCCTGACGAGACAAGCTCGGCCCCTGGGGCTCTCCGCCAGGCCCAGGCCCGTGAACCCTCCGGACCTACCTTGTGCTTAGATTTCCTCCTCTTTTTCGATCTTCTCTTCTCTTTCTCCCGCTCTTTCTTCCGCTTCCGTTTCAGCCTCCTGTGAGACTTTTCCTCGTCTGAATCGCTGTAGTGCTTCTCCCCTTTTTCTTTCCGGCTCCTCTCCGGGCCTCCGGGGGTGTCCTGGGTCTCCTCTGCCCCATCATCCTCCAGTTCACCTTCTTCCAACTCACCATCTTCCCTACAAACCAACCCCAAAGCCAGCGTGAACACAGGTTTGAGAGGAACACAGGTCCGCGGGCTCTGGGCTGGCCAGGGCTGGCAGGAACGGAGGGCCTGACTGCCGTGAGAGAGACCTGGAATCCCTGCCAGAGGCCTTGGCAGGACCTGGGGTCCACTGCCCCCCATCCCACCCCGCCCTCCTCCTAAAGGACTGCATCTGCTCTCAGCTGGCCTGCCTAGGGCTGGGGCTGCGGCTGGGGGAGGGGACAGGGACCGACGTGGCGGGAGCAGTATTTCCCAAACTGTTCCCTAGGACTAGAATTCTAGGAAGAAAAGTGACGAGGTTCTGTGGTCAAGTTAGCTGAGGGAATCCCCACCTTGGGGAACCACCATGCTTAACGCTGTAACAGAAGTTCCCACAAGTCCTACAGTCAAGAAACCTGTACATCTTGGCTTCAGGGCACTTCTGAGATGCACTTGACCACAGAGGCTGCTTCTCTCACGGAACATGGACCAGCATCCCTCCCAGGCGCAGTGGCCTGGGGTCGCCACTGGGCCCCAGAGCTATGGATGTGCCCGGTGAGCTGAGGGTGGGAGCTGAGCACAGTGGAGAGAAGGCCATGCTTCTGATCCAGGGGTGGCCTGCAGATTCCTGGGCCCTACCCATAGGCAGGCCCGAGGACACACTAGCGAACAGGCTCTGGGGTCTGGCCCACACCCTCAGCTCCATGGCTCTGGGCTGGAGGGGGGGGGTAGGGGAGGTTGAGTGGCTAAAAGGTGTGAGACCAAGGGTCCCAGGCCCCAGACCCCCTGTGAGGTCCTCACATGACAGCAGTCAGAGTGCCTGCAGAGGGGTCAGCCCCCACCTGCAGCTCACCCTGTTTCCCACCTGACTTGCCTCACTTCTGGGTATCCCTTCTGGCCCCCCAGTCTAGATTTTCTAACTTTTCCACTCCCCCCAATACCACCCGACCCTAGTTATTAAAAACAGAAGCATCCTCCTGACATGACAGATGCTGCGAATAGGACTCTAAATGTCTAAATATCTATGGGGTATGGGTGGGAGGGTTGGGGAGAAATAGGGTTAAGAAAGGAATAGCTGGGAAAAGAATCCAGTTTTTGAGCCAAACCCACAGACACAGTACTCACAAGCACAGAAGCTGGTTTTTAAAAAATAAATAAAAATTAAATTTTTTTTAAATGTTCTCAAAGTTCCTCAGGCATGACATGGAAAAGTATGTATGAGGGCATAAAAAAATGACTTATCAATTAAACAGGACCCAAACCAAATGAAGATAACAGAGCAATGTAATGAAGGGACCCAAAAGGCTACCGAAGGGAACTAATCTGGGCAGAAAAGGCCTCGGCCGCTCAGATGGGCCCAGGGTCGGGGTGGAGACAAGCTCATCAGGCAGCTGGCCCGGGAGCGCCTGGCTCTCTCAGGCTTTGTGGGGAAACGACGAACTGACGACTTCACAGACGTTCCACTGTGTCGCTCCCTTTGTCTGCCTTGGTGCTGCTCCCTAAACATCAAAACCTTCAAGAAGGGCTGTGTACACTCTCATTCCCAGTTCAGAGGGTCAGATCAGCTTAAAACAAGTGGCCCAGCCCCACCAGGTACCCCAGCAGAGGTCAAGGGCAGCTCTCAAACACAGAATGCTAGACACAAATGTTAGACACAAAACTTGAATGTTTCAAAGGAAACAACACAGAGAGATGACCCATGTGCTTCTCATGTTGTTTCCTTGTAAAGGGCCAGGTTGCCCTGGGCTGGCCCCACAGGAAGACGCCCAGTAAACTTTGGAGAAGGCAGCATTCCTGACAAGTGAGGCACCTTCCGGCTGGGGTGTAGCCCACAGAACGAGGGGTGGCACCAAGCAAAGCTCTCCTGGGACGAAGGCAATTCTGCTGGAATGGCCTCATCCACAGCAAAAGTGCCACTTGACTGGGGAAACTGGTTCTGGCCAGCTCACCAACCCAAGGGAGACGCTGTTATTCAACGGCACGGCCAATT